TCAATAAACGAAGAATTGATGGAACATATCTCAAAATAATAAGAGCTATTTATGACAAACCCACAGTCATTATCAAATTGAATGGGCAAAAGCTGGGGCATTCCCTTTGAAAATTGGTACGGATCATGCAGGTTTGTTACATAGGTATACACATGCCATGGTGGTGGTTTGCTGCATCCATCACCCCATCATCTACATTAGATAATTCTCCTAATGCTATCTCTCCCCAATCCCCTCACTCCTTGCTATTCCTCCTAGCGCCCCACCCCCCCAGGCCCCAGCGTGTGATATTCCCCTCCCTGTGTCCATGTGCTCTCTTTGTTCAACAGCCACTTATGAGTGAGAACATGGGGTGTTCGGTTTTCCGGTCTTGTGTCAGTTTGCTGAGAATGACGGTTTCCAGTTTCATCCATGTCCCTGAAAAGGACATGAACTCATCTTTTTAATGGCTGCATAGTATTCCATGGTGTATATGAGCCCCATTTTCTTTATCCAGCCTTTCACTGATAGACATTTGGGTTGGTTCCAAGTCTTTGCTATTGTGAACACTGCCACAGTAAACATATGTGTGCATGTGTCTTTATAATACAATAATTTATAATCCTTTGGCTATATACCCAGTAATGGGATTGCTGGGTCAAATGGTATTTCTTCTGTTTCTAGATTCTTAAGGAATCAGCACACCATCTTCCACAATGATTGAATTAACTTATGCTCCCACCAACAGTGTAAAAGCATTCCTATTTCTCCACATCCTTTCCAGCATCTGCTATCTCCTGATTTTTTTAATGGTTGCCATTCTAACTGCTGTGAGGTGGTATCTCACTGTGGTTTTGATTTGCATCTCCCTAATGACCAGAGATGATGAGCTTTTTTTCATAGTTTGTTGGCTGCAGAAATGTCTTCTTTTGAAAAGTGTCTGTTCACATCCTTCGCCCACTTGTTGATGGGGTTGTGGTTTTTTTGTGTAAATTTGTTTAAGTTCTCCACAGATTCTGGATATTAGACCTTTGTCAGATGGATAGACTGCAAAAATTTTTTCCCATTCTGTTGGTTGCTAGTTCACTCTATTGATAGTTTCTTTTGCTGTGCAGAAGATCTTAAGTTTAATTAGATCCCATTTGTCTATTATGGCTTTGTTGCCAGTGCTTTTGGTGTTTTAGTCACAAAGTCCTTGCCCATTCCTATGTCTTGAATGGTACTGCCTAGGTTTTCTTCTAGAGTATTTATGGTGTTAGGCCTCATGTTTGAATCTTTAATCCATCTAGAATTAATTTTTGTGTAAGGTGTAAGAAAGGGATCCAGTTTCAGCCTTCTCCATATGGCTAGCCAGTTTTCCCAATACCATTCACTAAAATAAGGAATCCTGGGGGGGGGGGGGAACGGGGAAAAAAATTTTTTTAATGAAAATAAATAAATTAATAAGTAAATAGGGAATCCTCTCCCCATTGCTTGTTTTTGTCAGATTTGTCAAAGATCAGATGGTTGTAGTTGTGTGAAGAATGTCATTGGTAGCTTGATGGGGATAGCATTGAATCTATAAATTACTTTGGGCAATATGGCCATTTTCACAATATTGACTCTTCCTAACGATGAGCATGGAATGTTTTTCCATCTGTCTGTATCCTCTGTTATTTCCTTGAGCAGTGGTTTATAGTTCTCCTTGAAGAGGTCCTTCACATCCCTTGTTAGTTGTACTTCTAGGTATTTTAATCTTTGTGACAATTGTGAATGGAAGTTCACTCATGATTTGGCTCTCTGTCTATTATTGGTGAATAGGAATGCTTGTGATTTTTGCACATTGATGTTGTATCCTGAGACTTTGCTGAAGTTGCTTTATCAGCTTAAGGAGATTTGGGGCCAAGACTATGGGGTTTTCTAAATATACAATCATATCATCTGTAAACAGGGACAATTTGATGTCCTCTCTTCCTATTCAAATACACTTTATTTCTTTCTCTTGTCTGATGGTCCTAGCCAGAACTTCCACCACTATGTTGAATAGCAGTGGTGAGAGAAGGCATCCTTATCTTGTGCCAGTTTTCAAAGGGAATGTTTCCAGTTTTTGCTCATTCAGTATGATATTGGATGTGAGTTTGTCATAAAAAGCTCTTATTATTTTGAGATACAATCCATTGATACCTAGTTTATCGAGAGTTTTTAGCATAAAGGGCTGTTGAATTTTGCTGAAAGGCCTTCTCTCAATCTATTGAGATAATCATGTGGTTTTTGTCTTTGGTTCTGTTTATGTAATGAATTACATGTATAGACTTGCATATGTTGAGCCAGCCTTGCATCCATGGGATAAAGCCAACTTGATCGTGATGGCTAAGCTTTCTGATGTGCTGTTGGATTCAGTTTGCCAGTATTTTATTGAAGATTTTTACATCAATGTTCATCATAGATATTGACCTGAAATTTTCTTTTTTAGTTGCTTCTCTGCCAGGTTTTGGCACCAGGATGATGTTGGTCTCATGCACATGTACCCCAGAATTTAAAGTATAATAAATAAATAAGAAAGAAAGAAAGAAAGAAAGAAAGAAAGAAAGAAAGAAAGAAAGAAAGAAAGAAAGAAAGAAGAAAAGAAAAGAAAAGAAAGAAAACAGTATAAGACAAGGATGTCCTCTCTCACCACTCCTATTCACCACAGTATTGCAAGTTCTGCCAGGGCAATCAGGCAAGAGAAAGAAATAAAGGGTATTCAAACAGGAAGAGTGGAAGACGAGCGGTCTCTGTTTGCAGATGACATGATTTTATATTTTTTAAAAAAACCATCATCTCAGTCCAACAACTTTAACTGATAAAAGCAACTTTCACAAAATTACAGGAAACAAAATTAATGTGCAAAAAATCACAAGCATTTCTATACACCAACAATAGACAAGCAGAGAGCCAAATCATGAATGAACTCTCATTAACAACTGCTACAAAGAGAATAAAATACCTAAGAATATAGCTAACAAATGATATGAAAGACCTCTTCAAGGAGAACTACAAACCACTGCTCAAGAAAATAAGATAGGATACAAACAAATGGAAAACATTACATCCTCAGGGATAAGAAGGCTCAGTATCACAAAAAGGTCATACTGCCCAAAGTAATTTTATAGATTCAGTGCTATTCCCATCAAGGTAACACTGACATTCTTCATAGAATTAGGAAAAACTATTTAAAATTTCATATGGAATCAAAAACGACCACATATAGCCACAATAATTTTAAGCAAAAGGAACAAAGCTGGAGGCATCATGTTACCTGACTTCAAACTATACTACAAGGCTGCAGTAACCAAAACAGCATGGTACTGGTACCAAAATAGACATACAGACCAACTGAGCAGAACAGAAACCTCAGAATAACACCACACATCTAAAAACCATCTGATCTTCAACATATCTGACAAAAACAAGCAATTGGAAAAGGATCTCTGATTCAGTAAATGGTGCTGGGAAAACCAGACATAAGCAGAAAACTGAAATGGAACCCCTTCCTTACACTTTACACAAAAATTAACTCTACACAGATTAAAGACTTAAATATAAAACCTAAAACCATAGAAACCCTAGAAGTAAACCTACGTAATACCATTCAGGACACAGGCATGGGCAAAGACAAAAACACCAAAAGCAATTGCAACAAAAGCCAAAATTGACAAATGGGATCTAATTAAACTAACGAGCTTCTTCACAGTTAAAAAACTACCATCAGAATGAACAGGCAACCTACAGAATGAGAGAAAACTTTTGCAATCTACCCATCTGACAAAGGTCTAATATCCAGAATCTACAAGGAAATGAAACACACATACAGAAAAAAGACAACCCCATCAAAAAGTAGGCAAAGCATATGAACAGACACTTCTCAAAAGAAGACATTTACATAGCCAACAAATATGAAAAAAAAAGCTCATCACCACTGATCATCAAAGAAATGCAAATCAAAACCACTAGGAGATACCATCTCACGTCAGTTAGAATAGTGATCATTAAAAAGTCAAGAAACAACACATTCTAGAGAGGATGTGGAGAAATAGGAATGCTTTTACACTATTGGTGGGAATGTTAATTAGTTCAACCATTGTGGAAGGCAATGTGGCAATTCCTCAAGGATCTAGAACCAGAAATATTATTTGACCCAGCAATCCCATTACTGGTTATATACCCAAAGGATTATAAATCATTGTACTATAAAGACACGTGCACAGGTACATATATTGTGGCACTGTTCACAATAGCAAAGACTTGAAACCAACTCAAATGTCTATCAATGATAGGCTGGATAAAGAAAATGGGGCACATATACACCATGGAATACTATGCAGCCATAAAAAGGATGAGTTCATGTCCTTTGCAGGGACATGGATGAAGGTGGAAACCATAATCTTCAGCAAACTAACAAAGGAACCTAAAACCAAACACCACGTTCTGACTTATAAGTTGGAGATGAACATTGAGAACACATGGACACAGAGAGGGGAATGATACACACTAGGGCCTGTTGGGGAGTGGGAGGTGAGGGGAGGGAATCTAGAGGACAGCTCAATAGGTGCAGCAAACCACCATGGCACATGTATACCTATGTAACAAACCTGCACATTCTGCACACGTATCCCATTTAAAAAAAAAAGAAAGAAAAGAAATAAAGGGCCAAGCACAGTGGCTCACGCCTGTAATCCCAGGACACTGAGAGGACAAGGCGGGTAGATCACAAGGTGAGGAGATCGAGACCATCCTGGCCAACCTGGTGAAACCCCATCTCTTCTAAAATACAAAAAAATTAGCTGGGCGTGGTGGTGCACGCCTGTAGTACCAGCTACTCAGGAGGCTGAGGCAAGGGAATCGCTTGAACCCAGGAGGCAGAGATTGCAATGAGCTGAGATCGCGCCACTGCATTCCAGCCTGGCAACAGAGCAATATCTTGTCTCAAAAAAATAAAAAGAAAAAAAATTTCCCTATGTTCAACAGATAAAAACCGTAATAGAGAAAAGTTCTCAACTCACCACATTTTCACAAGTTTTAATCTTCTCCTGAGCCAGAATGTATTCTGCCCACATTATCTCTAATCCCTTCAAAGAAACTGGAGTTGTAAAGCACCCTTCATCCAACACTTGTATAGCTTCTGAAAGGTCATTTCCAAAACGAAAAGTGATGCTAACATGTCTGTTTTTTAAAATATCAAACAGAAAAAGATCAATAAATTACAAAGTTGGTATGAGAAAAAGTTACACTTTAATAGTAATGGTCTAAAAGTTATTGTTCATTGCACTGGCTCTGAAGAGGTACTTTTCAAAACTATATAAAATCATGTTTTTTTTCAGTCCACATGCTTTTATGCAGACATGTATAACATAATATAAACATTTAATCAAAAAACATTTGTGGATAGACTTCTAATTTCATGACATAAAAAATATTTTAAAAATTTAAAATTTTTAAAACTATAAAAAAGGCAACTTCAAAAGTCTGCAAAATTTGAAATGATAACAAACAAACCTTCAATTTTTGGTCTACAAATAACTTGTAAATATGTCTTTAAAAGAAAAGATATATAAGAAACCCATTTACCATAGGTTAATTGATTTAAATAAAAGTTCCTATGCCATATTTCTAGTCACAAAAACATTACTTCTAAATAAAGACCCAAAGCACTTATAATATTAAACACTGAAATACATGTGTACTATACATCCATTTAAGAAAAAACAATAAAAACAAGTAAGATAATTATTTACCCAACCTTTGGTGAATAAGTGGGTGACAGGAGTTGTAGGAGTGGTGGGTTAAATCAAGAAATAAATGTTTGCAAAGTGAAAATTTTAAGAAGCACCCCCTACCATCACATGTTCAAAAATAAACAATAACAAATATAGTGAGTGAGCTTACTGAATGCTTTCACACCACATCATTTATTGCCAGGCATCTGTATGATTCTTGCATATTTGATAAATGTTTATGACAATTTGTATATATTCATTCACTTTCATTTTCCAACCTGCTTATTCCAATCCAGGGTTGCAGGTAGACACAGTCTACCTCGGCAGCGCAGAGCGCATGGTGAGAACCAACCCTGGACATGACACCATTGCACTGCAGGGTGCACTCACACTCATGCACACTCATACTGGCACAATACAGACACACCAATTCACCTAAGTGCACATCTTTGGGATGCGAGAGGAAACCACAGTATTCCAAGAAAACTACACAAATATGGAGAGAATGTGCAAACTCCACACAGACAGCGGGGCTCCAGCTAGGAAATGATTTACTTCTTCAATGTTATAATGAAATAATGTTGAATGAAAACACGTTATTCAAGAAAGTGCTGTACTCATGAAAATAACCCCAAGCAAAACAACTGGACATGGTAGTTTCCCATCAAACTATCACTTAAAGGCTATGTTGATGTTTTTTCTATTTCAGCCTCAGTTATGACCTTAGAACACTATAGCTCCAAGCAGTGACAACAGAGAAAACTGACAAAAACAGTATCAAATTCATCTCAGAAATAACTATCTTTAATTCCTCTCCTTAAAGTCATAAAAATACAACAGTTAAATTTTAAAGCAAAAATGGCAGGCATACAATTTAAACAAAGCACCAATTAATTAGCAATTAGTTTAAAATATCCTTCTCAAAACATGCTTTTACCTACCTCATTTCTCTCAGCATTTTCATCTTAGCTGCCAGATTTTTCATTCTGGTATCTATACAGTTCTTCAGAGTGCTTTGTAAATGATGAGTCAAATCCACGGAAGCTGCTTTCTCTTGCTGAAACAAAAAATAAGCACATTCTAGTGAGACCCAAATAGGAAATTGTATATCTACTATAATTTAAATGATTTTTGGCTGGGCACAGTGACTCATGCCTGTAATCCCAACACTTTGGGAGGCCAAGGAGGGTAGATGGCTTGAGCTCAGAAGTTCAAGAACAGCCTGGATAACATGGTAAAACCCCATCTCTACAAGAAAATAAAAAATTAGCCGGGTGTTATGGAGCATGCCTGCAGTCTTAGCTACTTAGGAGGCTAAGGTCAGAAGATGGATTGAATGAGGTAGGCAGAGGTTGCAATGAGCCAAGATTGTGCCACAGCACTCCAGACTGAGCAACAAAGTCAGACTCTGTCTCAGGGAAAAAAAAGTTTCTGAATTTGAATAAAACAGAATCGAGTTATTGAATATTTTTATTTCAAATTAATATTTATTTTTAATTGCTTCAATTAAATAAAGAATGAAGGCTTTATTGATCTAAATAAACTATTATCACTCTTGGCACAGCTTTCTGGAATACATTTTTTTGGTGCTGTGTCTTTTTTAAAATGTGGCAAAATATACATAAAATTTATCATTCTAACCATTTTAAAATGTACAGTTCTATAGCACTAGGTACATTTATATTGTTGTGAAATCATCAGCGCCATCCATCTCCCGAACTTTTTCATCTCTCTTAATCAAAACTCTGTATCTATCACACACTACTCCCTATCTCCCCTCCCCACAGCTCCTGGAAACCACCATTCAACTTCGGGTCTCTACAGATCTGGCTACTCTAGGAACTTCAAATAAAAAGGCTATATGCAAATATGCCTGTATTCATGTCAAGCAACAACTCCTTTTGGCATAGGGAGTATTCTAAACACAGAGAAACATTTCATAAAGATAAATGTGTCAATTCATCAAAAAGATCCAATAATTCTAAATGCATATTTACATAACAACAGGGCCTTTAAAACTCTCAAAATCTGATAGAACAGAAGAGAACAAAACAGATAAAACTAAAATAATTTTTAGATTCCAACACTTCTCTCTCAGTAATTGACTGAACAAGTAGAGAGAATCTGTCAGGGTCTAAAAGACTTGAATACCACTATCAACCAGTTCAGCCTAACATTCATAAAACACTCCACCCCACAACTATAGAACACACATGACTTTTAAAAATGCATGAAACATTTCCAAAGACTCAACATATGCTGGATATGAGACAAAGCACCAATTAATTTATGTCAATAAATTTAAAAGGACTGATTCCATTCAGAATATGCTCTCTGATACCAATAAAATTAAATTAGGAATCAGTAACAAAAATATATTGGGAAAAACATTATCCAAAAGAAAGGAATTAACATGCACTCCTATGTTTACTGCAGCACTAACACAGTATCAAAGATATGGAATCAACCTAAGTATCCATCAATGGATCAAGAAAATGCAGCATATGTATATACAATGAAATATAATTCAGCCATAAAAAATAATGAAATCCTGTCATTTGCAGCAACATGGATGGACTGCATGTCATTCTGTTAAGTGAAATAAGCCAGGCACAGAAAGACAAATATTTTACATTCTTGTTAATATGTGGGAGCTAAAAAAAGTTGATCTCATGGAGGTAGAAAATGGAATGACCAATAGCAGAGGCTAGGAAGCGTGTGTTAGAAATAGAAGGATAAAGAAAGGTTGCTTAATGGGTACAAACATGCAGTTAGATAGAAGGGATAAGTTCTAGTGTTTGACAGCAGATGACTAGAGTTAATCACGTATTGTATATTTCAAAAGAGCAAGAGAGGTCTCGAAATGTTCCCAAAATACAGAAATGGTAAGTCCTTGAGGTGATGGATATCCTAAATACCTACACTTCATCATTACACAATCTATGCATATAACAAAACATCACACATACATCAATAAATATATACAAATACTATGTATCAATAAAAAAATAAAACATGTATCAGGGAAATCTTCAAGTATGTGGCAATTAAGCAAATAGCTCACGGTTCAAAACAGGAGTCACAAGAAAATGTTTTAAATATGCTTCACTAAAAAACAAAACATATTGTGGTTTGTAAATAAAGCAATGCTTAGAAAGAAATCTTTCTCTCTAAAAGTATTATAAACGAACAGGCCAGGCGTGGTGGCTCACACCTGTAATCCTATCCTAGCACTTTGGGAGGCCAAGGCAAGTGGATCGTGAGGTCAAGAGATCGAGACCATCCTGGCCAAGATGGTGAAACCCCATCTCTACTAAAAATACAAAAAAGTAACTGGGTATGGTGGCACGTGCCTGTTGTCACAGGTACTCACGAGGCTGGGACAGGAGAATCACTTGAACCCAGGAGGAAGAGGTTGCAGTGAGCCAAAACTGTGCCACTGCACTGCACTCCAGCCTGGTGACAGAGCAAAACTCCATCTCAAGAAAAAAAAAGGAACAAAAGATTTAAAATAATAATACGGGGAACTTCATGTTTTTGTTTCACATGTAAGAAGCCTGGAAGTCACTATGTCATCCTAACACATATTAAAAAGCTGAACAAAGTAACTATCAACAACCTTTCTCAGATCCGTAACAAAAGGTAAAATAGGTACAATCACTGGAAAAACTGCTACACCTAAAGTTAAATGGACAGAGATAAAGAGAATCACAACATACTGGAACAAAAATTTCTACAGGAAGCAATGCCTATGTAGGAAAACCTGAACTGCAGACAAACTGCTGGAAACTAGGTGTGGGCAAGACTGAAAGCCAAAAGTTCCAGGGGCATCTAGTCATGGGGATCTCCCTTGCTTTTGTGAGTTTCACCTCCAGGAGCTAGACCAGGTTCTCACAGTAAATACAGTATCATAGGTATCTTTACAGTAAAATGCCCTCATGCTTCCAGCAGTAGGAGAAGAAAACAAACCATTTTGAAATACCCCAGAGCACTCTGTAATTCTTAACAGTATCTACCCTGAAAAGAAACCAGTTAACCAGAGCCTAATCTGCTGAGGTTTCATCAAAGCCCAACTGACATGGGAGAAAGGAAATATCCAACTCCAGCCAGCTCTATCCTTCCACATGAGAGGAGGTAAATACACAACTGCATCCTATTCTAGCCATCCTATCCCACCTAAAGGGGCCGGGGGGCGGGGGCAATGAGGAATGACAGATGCTTGTGAATTCACAGGCCAGAGACATAGACTCACAAAAAGACTGAGACCTAATCATAGGACTATCCAACACATCACTCCCCGCTACATCTTACATTATTAAAGACATAGTTAAAGCAATTGCTTTTACTACATTATTAAAGACATAGTTAAAGCAATTGCTTTTACCTGATATATCATATACAGTTATCGATAAAAAAAAATTACAGCCAGGCACAGTGGCTCATGCATATAATTCCAGCACTTTGGGAGGCTGAGGTGGGTGAATTGCTTGAGCCGAGGAGTTCAAGACTAGCCTGGGTGACATGACAAAATCATTTCTACTAAAAAAATATACAAAAATTAGCCAGGTGTGGTGGTGCACACCTGTAGTCCCAGATACTCAGGAGATTAAGGTGGGAGGATCACTTGAGCCCAGGAGGTAGAGGTTGCAGTGAGCCAAGATCACGCCACTGCATTCCAGACTAGACAACAGGGCAACACCTTGTCTCAAAAAAAAAAAAAAAAAAAATAGGCCAAGCGCAGTAACTCATGTCTGTAATTCCAGCCCTTTGAGAGGCCAAGGCAGGTGGATCACAAGGTCAGAAGATCAAGACCAGCATGGCTAACATGGTGAAACCCTGACTCTACCAAAAATTAAAAAATTTTTAAAAATTAGCTGGGCATGGTGGTGCACACCTGTATTCCCAGATACTTAGGAAGCTGAGGTAGAAGAATTGCTTGAACCTAGGAGGCTGAGGTTTTAGTGAGTCAAGATCATGCCACTGCATTCCACCCTGGGTGACAGAGTGAGGCTCCATCTCAAAAAAAAAAAGTAAATATTACAAAGCATACTCAAGAGCAAAAACTACAGTTTGAAGAAAGAAAACATTCAGAACCAGATATGGAGATGGGGAAGGGATGCTGGAATTATCAGAGAATGAATTTAAAACAATTATGATTGATATGCTACACATTGTAATGAAGAAAGTAGATAGCATGCAGTAACAACAAATGGGCAATGTAAGCAAAGAGATGGAAATCCTAGAATGAACCAAAAAGAAATGTTAGGTATCAAAACAGCATAAAAGAAATCAAAAATGCCTTCAATGGACATCCTAGCAGACTGGACATGGCTGAGAAAAGAATCTCTGAGCTTCAGGATACATTAATAGGAACTTCAAAACTGAGAAGCAATGAGAACAGACTAAAAAGAAACAAGAGAAGACCTACCAATTGTGGGACAACTAAAAAACATGTAACATATGTGTAACAAGAATGCCAAAAAGAAAAGAAATACCTAAAACAATACTGAGAATTTTCCTAAACCAAATCATAGATCCAGGAAGCTCAAAGACCACCAAGCTGAATGAATGCAAGAAAAAAAATTAAAACAATGGGTATCATTTTCAGAGAAAATCAAAGATAAAACCTCAAAGAAGCCAGAGGAGAAAAAAACCATACCCATAGAGGAGTAAAGATAAGAATTACAGTCAACATCTGATATACTTTGGATGTTTGTCCACCCAAATCTCATGTTTAAATGTAATTTCCAATGTTAGAGGTGGACCTAGTGAGAAGGTTCATAGGGGAGATCCTTAATGAACAGCTTAGCACCATCCTCTTGGTGGTGAGTGAGTTCTCACTCAGTTCACATGAGATGTGGTTGGGACATACCCCTTCTCTCCCTTGTTCCCCTATCCTTGCTCCCTCATTCCCCATGTGATATGCTGGCTTCCCCTCTGCTTTCTGCCATGACTGTAAACTTCCTAAGGCACTCACCAGAAGCAGGTGTGGGCACCACACTTTCTATACAGCCTGCAGAACTGTTAGCCAATATAAAGCTCTTTCTTTTTTTAATT